AGTGGCGGGATGGCAGTTGGTCCTGGTGGAACTACGGGGATCGTAGGAATGGGCAGTGGAGGAGGAGGAGGAGGGGGATAAGTGGAGGAAACATCAACAAGGAGGTTCGTTATGCACCGTTCTCGTCATCTGTGGGACCGATTGGTACCGTGGTGCCGATAAATCTTCCATCTCTACCGCCACCACCGCCACCGCCGCCGCCGCCGCCGCCGCCACCGCCGCCGCCGCCCCTGCCGCTGCAGATGCAGCAGCAACGTGCCTTCTCGAGGTCGATGACGTCCCTGCCGCCGGAGCCGTTTATGATCATGCGTTCGAAGGCGTTGAATCGACGTGTTTCGATCAACGTCGGCGGCGTGAAACACGAAGTGCTCTGGCGCACCCTCGAACGATTGCCGCACACGCGCCTAGGCCGGCTGCGAGATTGCAATACCCACGAGGCGATCACCGAGCTCTGCGACGATTATTCCTTGATTGATAACGAGTACTTCTTCGACCGGCATCCCAAGTCCTTCAGCTCGATCCTCAACTTCTATCGCACCGGCAAACTTCACTTGGTAGATGAAATGTGCGTATTAGCATTCAGCGATGATCTTGCATATTGGGGCGTCGATGAGCTTTATCTTGAGAGTTGTTGCCAACACAAGTATCATCAGCGCAAGGAGCATGTGCACGAGGAAATGCGCAAGGAAGCGGAATCGCTCCGACAACGCGAAGAGGAAGAGTTCGGCGAGGGCAAATGCGCCCAATACCAAAAGTATCTATGGGATCTTCTTGAGAAACCAACCACATCCATTGCTGCAAGGGTAAGTTGCACTGTAGCTCGCAAGAATTGATGTCTTTTGTAGAACAATATAAAGTACAAAGCACAAACCAAAACGAACAAAACCTCGCGCATCGTCAATTCGTGTATGCGAGCGAACAAACCAGCCTAGGGTACAGCGGTCTAGAGATAGGATGGAAAGCGCTAGTGTAGACATACTTAACTATTTTACCAATTTGTCATCAGTCATTTTTTCAAACTTCTCAAATTTCAATATTTAATCTTGTAAATAATCATCATATTTCAACATACTATTTCTTTAAAAAATGATATATTTTAACGGGAATTTGAAGCAAAATATTATTTATCAGCTTTAATTGCTACGTGATATTTAATCATAATCCTCATAAAAATATTTATTGAAAAAAGCAAACATTAGATTGAATTAAAAATTTACTATCAATATCCAATTTTAAAGAAACACTCTGTTAAATTGCGACTTCTGATCGAGAAATAGTTATTGAACTCGAGCTAAGAGTTTAAGTCGCAGCAAGGACGCTTCGAGTCGCAGCATTCAATGATATGTGTGTGTATGTGTGTGTATGATTAGTTTAACTTAGAGATCACCGACTAAATATTCATAACAAACGCGAGAAGCTTCTGATAATTACATAATTAAAGATCCAATAATGCATATTAATTAACATATTGAATAACAAGTGTAAGGGCGCAGGGGAAAAAATTCAACTATTGAAATATTGGTATAACTAATTCTTAAGTTTTACATTCAACTTTTCGATTGCGTGATTATTATAAGTACACTGGACGATTCGCGACGTTTTTACCCCAATATATAAATATAATATATAACTAGATTATAAATTTAAATAGAGACATATATATGTATGAATAGGTCAAACAAGTGTATACTTTTCAAGCCGGAAATTGGCAATTTGTGACTGACAATGAGAGAGATAGTTGTGAGCTTACATGTCATAGCCTTATCTTGCAGCAAGATGATATTCGATAGCGAGATATTGCACACGATGACACTAGATTGTAAGATGGAGAGTGAAGTATAAGCTTATAAACTATCTTTCGCAGTTATTGTCAACTGTCAATTTTTGACTTAACTTTTTGGCACATTTATGTCGTTTGTTTTCATCTTCATATTGTAAAACTTCCTTTACATCTATCTCATAGAGAAACTCGTGTCGAATTGCTATTATAATCTCTTCGGTCAATCAAATTTTTTCGTGATGGCGAAAAATATGTTATACCGGCTTTTTAATAGCGCGCATGTTGATACTAGCGCGAATTGATAAAATCAATACATCGAATAACGCGCATAATTGGACAGATTTGGAATTGGATCATTTTGCATGCGAATCAAGTTTTTTAATCACGACATTACGAGAATCCAGACTTTTACTTATCGCAAATAATTTTAAACGACTTTATTTTCATTAATTAACTTAACGATGTGTCCACGCTTGCAGTTTTTTGCCGGAGCCTTAATTCAAGCAAAGGTATTACTAGCCGATGTTACAGCATCGACATATTTAGTATATACCTAGACGAACAGAGTAGATAGAACGCATTTTGAATTTAGTTTCGTCTTACAATTAGACCTTTTTTCGTGAACCGCTCGATCGGCAAATCACAATTTTTTATTTCGCTGACTTTCTAAAATATTGCGTTTTCTCTTTTGCGAATAAGTAACAGTACGATAAAAGTCTCGAATTACTTAATGCTACGTAGAGTTTTATTGTATTGAATTGAATTCTCGTAATGACAGATATTTGTTAAAATATAACGTTTTTATATAATCTCTATAATAAACTCTATAATAGTAATATACACATTTATCAGAGAAAAGTAAAATCTAGTATCGATTGTTAGTAGTTGATATACATATTTACAATATGTGATGTTATTAACGACAATTGCAAAAGTAGTCCAAAATGTAAACATACAAACGCAATAAAAATTAAAAAAGATATTTATTACAAAATTGAATAAAAATATTTTTACTCTACATATTTAGTCATTCTTCTACGTAATAACCATATTTGTTTAGGCATTCGTTTGTCCCGAACACAAATTTTTGTATTCCATTATTATACAACTTTTCAACAGTCTTCGTAAAAAAACTTGTTATTCGGGATAAAAAGGCAAGGCCTAATTCTTGTAATATTTGCATTACAAAGCTGCATAATTTATTTTTATCAAGATTTTTGTTTGTCTTTTGTTCTTAAAGAAGCATACATATACCCGAAAAGGAAGTTAATAAATACGAAGAAATGAAAAATAAAGAAAAAGTTTATGTTGAAAAATAACTAAATTTTTATATATATTCAGTGTATTTTTTGTAATAAAATTCTCGATTTTGTAATAAAATTTTAAAAAATTTTTATTGCGTCTGTATCTCTTTACTCCCTGGATTACTTTCGTATAAAAAATATATAAGTTATTGTAAGAAGAAACAAATGATAGATACTGCAGAAATTGAAGTAAATTATCTAAATAATGAATATACCTCTCTTTCAAAAGATACTCAATATTAATTGTGTTACTTGATACAAGTATACTTGGGAAAAAATCAGTCAAGTTTAAAATTTATCTTTTCTTGCATTACGAACATTAAAATCTAATATATCTTTTCAATTGCGTCTTTTCCTATGAAAATGAATCAAGTAATTATCCATCGATGGAGATACCTGTCAGTGAAAAGATAATGAAATAACTTGGTAGAATCATCTCGAAAAAATAATCTTTATGTAACGCCGCTAAATCGAATTATTAATCGAGTCGTGAGTCGATCGAGCGTAGCTGCCGTGACCTAGTCAGATCTAGATCACTTTCTATCTCGGTATTCTAGTTTCGATATGTTCATTAACGTCATAGATAGCGTATTATTTAGGTATTTAGCCAATCTAACGCCAAATATAACATATTTGCTCTCATTTTAGCGTACAAGTAAGTATGTGCATACATACTGTAGATTAGCGAATGATTCTCTGATGTTGATATCAATTTCTGTAATGTATATTTTATTTCTAGGTGGTGTTGCCCAATTTGATATTAATAATATCTTTCTCTCTATTATCATAATCCAGTTTTTAGCTCGTAGCTCATATTGTATTTCAAGAGTGTGAATAAGATCGTCGTGCCGTATAATTGGCCGCCGATGATAATGGGAGTGTTTTATACGCGATTACCAGGTATCACGTTGATTCTTTCTCAACACCGCTCCCTAAACGTCATTACTAGTTTCACTACCAGCGAATTCAATTCGACACACGCGCGCGCGCGCGCACGCACATATGCATACATATATGTGTATGTGTGTGCGTGTGCTGTGTGTAAGCACGCGTGCCTTACGTGCACTTGCATAAAAACTTAAAAATATATAAATCTGTTTATAATTTATTTGAAAAAAGTCACATATTTACATATTAAAATATATAAATTTGTAGAGAGAGTAACCTTTTTTTTAATAAAAAATAAGTAAATTCAATAAGAAAAATGTAACAAAAAGTAATAGAATTTTTTAATAATAATATTTTGTTTGATATAAGTTTCAAAGATTTTAGATGTTTCATAGTTATTTATTTTCTAATTTATTTTATCTTTTTAAATGTAAAAAAGAGAAATAATAACTAATTTGGTTGTGCAAGAGTATAAATGCGAGGTATACAACATATAACTTGTCGATTAATTTTTAACGAATTTTGCAGCAGAATATTAATTTGAACTTTTTTTATTTTACCGAAATACATAATGAAACAAATTAATAATTACTAATAAAAATAATGCAATAATATCCAAAGTGAAAGTTTGCATGAACAATTTGGAGTAAGACTATATAATTAGTTTCTTTTTTCAAATTTTTCTGTACAAACAGATTGATTTTGAACTTATAAAAAATAGATGGACTGATTACGAATCACTATGCATTACCATTAATGTTATTTATAATATTTTTGTTTATATTAATGGAATTATCATTAACCAAATCAAATGACAAATAAAAATATATGTTATTGTTTGCAATACGATATTTATATCAATCCATTTTTAATATGATTCGTCGAGTCCGATACTCGCAAATAGCGTGTTATACATATTTAATTATCATAACGTGACAATCGCAAATTAAATCTTACAATTAGAATTAGAACATTTTTTTCTGAACTAATTGTAAGTGAAGATATTAAGTGCCAAAATATGAAAAAAAAAAATTAATTGATTTAAATATTAAAGCATTAATTTTTGAAAACAATTTAGGAAAACGAAGGATTCAAATAAATAAATTTGCCACATATAACTAACATATTGTAAAATCTTTTATTACAATACTTTTTATTTTCCGGTAGATCTTGTTATAATAGAATTCTAATTTGTAACTAAATTACAAAGATATTTATGATTGAAAATTACAACGTGACATATAAACATGACAGTGATATAGTGAACTTTTTGCTGTGGAAAACTAAACTTGAAATTTACATGTTTAATCGAGAAACAAAATGCACAGTATGTCAACTTAAATAACATTTAAAAGAGCTTATAATGTAAAAGTAAACATGAAAGCGCTATTCAACATGCTATGTCGGACTCGATGATTTCGCTAATTATGAGAGAATCTTCTTGATCAACAAGCAACAGCTTGTTTCACTGGAATGTAGTTTGAATCCTCGATATATACTTGACACACCACAAACAATACACATTGCACACACTGTTGCTCTGAGATAAATATGATGTTTTGTGCGGGGTTATCACATAGCACCTCCTCCTCCCCAACTTTTAAAGACAACACTACAACAATTCTCTACGAAAAATGACCACCTAATGACGACCTAATATGTCTGACCTCACTGTATCGTTCCAAGATTGTCTTTCAAGTCGCCCAGACTGGGTGATGTCGGCGTCCGACATCTACGTCTTAAAGTGGTTTCCGAGAATGTCTGAGAACTAGTTTCTGTGTTGCCCTTATCTTGCTGCACGTCCGTATAATAACGGCTGTGGCACGGCACATTAACGAAAGCTTTCGAAAGCTGATACACTACACCGGTGCACTTGCCCGCGGTTCTATCCGCTGAAACACCGTGTCCACTTTTTCATAGTTCGTTTTCAAACCTATTTTCTCTTTAACAGACCTATCAATATAACAGAAACTATCGATCTGCCGAGTATATTTAGAGCACGCAAGGGCCATAACTACGACTGCAAAGATAATGTATGAACTCACCCGCCTTTTATATCGGCTTTCTTTTTCCAGTTTTCCTCGGCTTCTTTTTTTATCCGCAGCTGATATGACAGCATATTAGAAACAAAATGTAAGAAATAATCTGCACGAATTCGCTTCATTGCACAATACGATTGAACTCCGTCCCACACAGAGAATACATTGCACGAGCTTGCATCACACGGTTTTATCGTCATCTTTAACACGTACACGTACAGACACGTACACTCACATTATTGAGAGTAGCATTAATTTTTGATACCAGCTGAGATAGAGTGGTTCGAGATTCTCGAAGATAAAATATATCGCATCTATTTATATACAATCGTGTGAACCTGTGTTTGGAATTACATACATGCCAAAACAAACCTAATTCTTTCTAAAGTCAAGACAATCCTAATTTCTGATTACAATCTTTTATCTAATTTTTTAATCATACAAAGCGCTCATAGAGAGCAATTTCTTTTTAGAATATTTATAAAATTTTTCAAGTAATGAGACATACTTCGAAATGTGAACTAACATCGAGCTGCTAACTCAAGCTAGCTCAAAATTAAAATTATATTTTATGATATTTCATGACGCTTAATATGCAGAAATCAATTTAAGACTGCAAAATGTTGAGACATAACTAGTGCTTTCTTTTTCTGGTTTTCTCTTAATTTTTTGCCTACAAAAAATACTTACAAAATTAAGAGTAAATCTGAATAAAAAAAGAATTTTTTCTTATTGATAAAAGAAACATTTTCCAGGAAAATTTCTCGACGACAAAGTACCATAAAACAATTTTTAGAAGAGATTAATTGTGCAAACATATTCATTTTTATGAACTTTTATGATGTATACATGCTATATGCATGCTTCAGAATCAAGAAATATAAAACTTTGATATGAAGTAAATGCAAGATAAAAATAAGTTATTTTTAATTTGTCCATTTTTCTTTGGTCGTGACATAAAGTCGGCTGATCTAAAATACATTAAGTGTGTACTTTAATCGTGTTGAGGCATTTGTAATTCTGAAAAGTGCCATTTTATATAGAGTGAAAAAATAGAATAGTATATTCTGTGAGAATTTTCGTGGAGTAACGTTTGATTGTTGAAAAAAATGACACCGAAATTATCGAGAAAAAATAATGAGATCTCCTAAGCAGGTATCGGAAATTCAATGCTTCCTTGATATGTCTTTGAATGTACGCACTTCCCCTTATTCCCCTTACGATTTAAATATTGCGAAGCAAGCTTTCCTTATTACTTTACTTTAAGTGACCTCACGATTTCGCCGAATTCTCAAAGCGACGAATTGATTTCGCTTTGTAGCGATTGCACTGGCATGAAAATAGAAAGAGGGAGGGGAACAGAAGAACAGCTTATGGACTTGTGATCTCTCGGGGAACAAAGGCACAAGAGATCAGGAACAAGGGAGCGGGGTTTTGAAGGGACATACAGTGTGTTTACCGAACAATGCAATAAAACTTGTATGAGTCGAGCGACGTCGGGCAGACTGCGTTTAAACGACGAGGCACACCCTGATGACGAAGCTGTGTTGCGAATATTTCTGAGAAAATACGATTGATTCTCCATTTACTGGATCATCAAATCGATTTTCTCTACTTTCAACACAAAAGTATCTAGTCGTCAGTATGATATAATATCGGTGATATACTTCCTTCCATATTTGCAGTGGTTTGTTTGATCAAGGCTGTGTTTACTTCTTCAATGATCTTTCTCTGTGTTGGTTAGTTTTGGCCAAGCCTTATATTACAAAAATCGTTCAAATTTCCAATTAGGCGCTCTCATTATGCTGATTGATCGCGCAGTAAATGCGCGGAAAAGCGCCAACTCATCCTTGAAATTTAATAAAATTTAGCAAACACAATAAGTGTTTAATAATGTTGGGTGTTGATTGATCAATGGTCGATTATTTTCGAGAAACGAGATTTTACGAAAAACACTCCAGTTGCTTTAACATATTGTACATTTTCGTCAAAAATAAAATAAAATAAAATATGGTCGCCAAAAAGTGGCATATTCAAATAAAATAAAGTTATGCGTAACGCACGTCATACGTGATACATCATAATAGATCAGAGAATTACTTTTTGCGTATCTCGTCAGTCTCGTCAGTTATCGCTTCACTGTAATGTACTATACTTGTGCGGCTTTACTGTAAATGTGTCGCAATATACATGTCTCATAAAAGTTAGAGTATAAATTACAGTATATACCGTTTGTCTATATTTTTATTCTCTGTATTTTGATTAATTTCATACTTAATTACAACGCTTTCGTATTGCAGTAACATTTTTCACCTTTTTTTGTTGTAATTATTGCAACGCTTGTCAAATTTTTTAGCGATGATTATTTTTATCACATACATTTTTATATATTGTTACATGTATTGTATATACGCATATAATGCCTTAGAGAATAAATTTTTTTATTTTGCAATTGCAAAATGTAATTGCATTGTCTTTGACTCGGTTTATCATAATCTTCCAAGTCTATTGTGTTGATATCGATACATCGATCTCGAAGGAAAATTGTATTGGAATCAATGTGTATATTTTAAAAGGATTGCAATAACAATCATTCGTCACGATATAATAGCTAGTATGTTTCTCGATTGTAAAGGCTAAAGTGTAAGCTAAAGTTTTGTTGTACCTTCCCCGTACGCATTATAGATGGTCATATAAACGCGCGATAAGGATAGCAATACGGTTATACATATGTAGATTTAGGAAATACCCCGATAGATGATCGATAAAGACAGACAAAGAAAAGATATTAAGGGAGGAAATAGTTTGAAATGTACGTAAACGTAGACCGCGGTAGCACGTGATTGGATTAGCTCTATTTGACTGGTTGACCGTCGCTTTTCCAGGTGATAGCTGTGATATCAATACTCTTTATTGTGCTTTCGACGATCGCACTAACTCTCAACACCATTCCTAGTATGCAAGTGAATGATGAGAAAGGGGTTCAAGACAATCCACAGCTCGCTATGGTGGAGGCCGTGTGCATCTCGTGGTTCACCCTCGAGTACTTGCTTAGGTTCAGTGCCTCGCCGGACAAGTGGAAGTTCTTCAAGGGCGGTCTTAATGTAATCGATCTTTTGGCGATACTACCGTACTTCGTATCTCTGTTCCTGGTCGAGACGAACAAGAATGCGAACGACCAGTTCCAAGATGTGCGCAGGGTAGTGCAGATCTTTCGTATAATGCGGATCTTAAGGATCCTGAAGTTAGCCCGCCACTCAACCGGGTTGCAAAGCCTCGGCTTCACTCTACGTAATTCGTACAAGGAGCTGGGCTTGCTGATGCTCTTCCTGGCGATGGGCGTCCTCATATTTTCGAGTCTCGCCTATTTTGCCGAAAAAGAGGAGCCCGGGACCAAATTCATAAGCATTCCAGAAACCTTCTGGTGGGCAGGCATCACAATGACCACCGTCGGATACGGCGACATCTACCCCACGACCCCGCTCGGCAAGGTGATCGGCAGTGTGTGTTGTATATGTGGTGTCCTGGTAATCGCGTTGCCCATTCCCATTATCGTCAACAACTTCGCCGAATTCTACAAGAACCAAATGAGGCGGGAGAAGGCTATCAAGAGGCGAGAAGCCCTCGAGAGAGCCAAGAGGGAGGGCAGCATCGTGTCCTTTCATCACATCAACTTGAGGGATGCCTTCGCCAAGAGCATGGACCTCATCGACGTCATCGTCGATACCGGTAAGCGACGGAGAGTACGACAGATCTGCGATCTGCTTGTCGCCGTCATCGTCGCCGATATAATCGAATAAACTCGGCCCCTGACCCGAGATCATTGTCGCGGTTCTCAGCGAGCCGTGACATGTTGCCACCGATGCTGCCGCCGCTCGTTTTTTACCTAATTTATTTTTCTCTGTTTGCTCTTTTTATTTTTCTTCTCTTCAATTCTATCAATTACAGTGTTGCAAGATGGGATTATTGGTATTGCTACAATCTGATTTCATATTACGGTATTTTGGTCGGTTTTTTTTCACTCCAAGATCATGGTTATACTTTTAAACTTGCAATCCCAGGCGGTGTACGAGAGACAATAAAGGCCTCACTGTAACGAAATTAATTAATCGATCTCAATACAGACTTGGTAAATGTGTGAGACTCGACGTGGAAGCAAGTCCACGTTTTTTTTCTCGCGTTTTACATATATAAAAACTAATTTACTGTGATTGAATTGCATTATCATTGCGATTGCGCGGCTGATATGTCCCTCCCCCCTCCCTCTTTTTTTATAGATTGCAATAGATTATAAATTCGTTCTTATGTATATATACATATGTACACATGCATACCGCCACGCTTAATTTTCTCCGCTTATCTCGTAGAAGCCTGGGATTGACGTAAAGGAAACTCGTCCAATGAAATCGCATATAAAAAAAGGAAAAAAGGACGATAAACAAATTGATTTTTAAGTCAGAGTGCAAGACTCTCGTGATCTTACAATGTTTTCTGTTTTTGTGCGATACATGACCTCGATCAATTTTTTTTTAACTATTCAACAAATCTCAAATATTCGTGCAATATTCCTGCAAAATCCACTTTTTAGATGTTATTATTACTGAAGAGATTATTAAGGTAATTAAGTTTAATGATTGTCTAATTTTGCGATTGTTATTTCGATATTATAATTATAATTGTACATTTTCTACGCTCCACAAGCAAATAAAAAGTAAACCGCTGCTTTTATATAATATAAAAATTTGTATAAAATATGTACAAAATTAATTTTCCATTATTCGCATATCATTAAATAATAATTGTCACTATTAAAGCACAATAATACACCAGCAAAGAAATTATAATATTAATCGCGATTTCTTACTTAATAATTTAAGCATACAAACTTACACGACAGCTTTCATTTAACTCATAATATCAACTCTGATTTCTTTCAACATCTTAGGATCATTTATTAAAATATAAGTAGGCGGTTTAGTCCTCGCTCACGTTTTACCGCGAAGAACAGTACAGATCTTGCACCTATTTCCAGGCCATAACATGTCTGGAGTGGATGGTAACAGTACGGAGGGAGAGTCCGCGTGTGGTCGAGGGCCTGCTCAGACTGGGCCTGGCTGTTATCGCAACTATGAGCACTACAGTCTGTCGCGCCATCGACGCAGTGCATCTAATGCCTGTTTTCCGAACTTGCCCAACGACCTGCCCACGATCACTACGCCTGATAGTCCGAATCGTCGACTTCTCGATTATGCTCAGAATCTACCGGGTGCGCAGAACGACGATTATTTTCAGGATGAAATGCCGACGCAGCATCCCAACCAAGGCAATATGACATCTAGCGTAAGTGTCAATATGGAATACGTGGGCGCGTGCACACACACATGCACATTTGCGTATACGAATATATATGTGTATATATATATATTCACATATGCATATCCTTATGTTTTAACACGTATTCGGGATGGCTATACGGTCTTAATGTCGATGATTTATAGTTTGAAAAATGAAGCTAACTATACAGAAGAAAACGCATACGAAAAAGGTTGAATAATGCTAGGTACATCTTGTTAAATTTCTTGTGTATGATGTTGATTTTTCTAATCTTATTTTATGTAATCAAATACATATAAAGAAGACATATTCAATTTATATTAATATTTTGAAATCATACGCAAGTGCGCGTGCATAAAGCACAAAAAAATCTTGGAATTTTTCTTTTATCATACTGTTAGAAAAATTTGCTTTGAATAATATACTCTTCTGGAAAATTTTGAATAAAAAAATTAATAAGAATAATTCGATGTTAAAAACCTAATTAATCATCCCGTACGTGCATATGTAGAGATCAATGATGATTGCAGTGGATGTGCGACCGCGCTAGTAATATAATATGCGCTTTATTGTACGCAGCTCTATCTACTGCGACGACTTTTTACCATTGAGTTACTAACATGGTTTTTCATTAAAGTTGTGTTACTACACAATTGGTATACAATTAAAAATCTTAGATATTGAAAAATAAAATACATCAAGTAAATCTACTTCAAGAGAGAATATAATTTTTGTAATATAATATTTTTCAAGCCAACGATCCAAAAAAATTTTAAATTCTACTTCAATATATATATGTGCTTTATTATATGTAATATGAGTGTGTGTGTATATATATATATATACACACTAAGAGACTACTTTATCAGCAACATCTAGATAAACAGAAAGAGATCACTGGTGCAGAAAGTGAGTTACCTGGCTCGTAACCTGGATATAAAAAATTTACTGATGAGAGCTACAGTTTTCAGTTACCTCGAAAGAATGCTACTGTTTTGAAAGCGAAAGAGGGTGCTACATCTCACTGAACGATTATTCCTAATAAAATGGTCATTCACTTTATATATTCACATACAATACAATTAATTTTTATATTAATTATTGTATCATGACACTTAAACGTATAAATAGATGTATTTACATGATATATTATTGAAAGAATGTTGCATATAGTAACATATCGCTTAAATTTTATTCGCACGAATCCCTCAAATTTATATTTATCGGTTTCAATTTGTTATTACAACTGTGATCGCATCCATTGCAATCGCAGAATCAGTTCACACTCGTCGAAATCGTGTAGCTACAAAACAGTCCATTTATTTTTACATTTTATTATGTAAACTTTACATTATGTTATGTAAACTTTACGTTACGTTATGATAAAACGACGAGATTGGACGCGTTCAATGTGAATGACAAATACTTTTTACATGTACGCAAAGGAAGCACATCGAGCACATGTCTCATCTTGAGCATCAACTATGATTCAATTATTATTAGCTAATTATTAATGAGATTGACCCCATGTATTTTTTAAAAGATTCTCACTATTTGTCAGTGAATGCGTTGTATATGTAAAAAGAATTAAAATTATTTTTTATTTAACACTTCAAGTTAATTTTAAAGATATATAATATTGTAGAGTTTTGAACTTTTACTAGCAATAGAAATATATCACATTATAAAATGCTGACAAATAAATGATTGGGAGTCGCTGCTGCAAAACAATACGCGCTCGACGTGCAACTATTTGTCTATCTTACATGCTTGTTTTTAGCTCGATCCTAATTATTAATTAGACACCGTACCATTCATATATTGTATAATTTCTTTTTTCGTAATTGATAAATTTCTCGCTGGCATATTGAGTCCACGAGTTTGATGCACGATTTCTGCGAAAAATAAGTATATTAATGGCGCTGGGCGGAGTTCTTAATTGATGTGCGTCGCTTATTTCTCACATTTATTGTCATATTATTGTCACACAAGGTTCCTTCAGATTTTGTCGAAAAAATATTTAACGCACGGAAGGAAAACATAAGGCGTATATGGTTACGCATAGAGTCGGCTTCATGAAATTTAATTGTGTTGATAAATTTTTGTTATTTCTATGTACTCTGTAACATTTGTGTGTGTATGTGTGTGTGTGTGTGTGTGTGTGTGTGTATACACACACACACACACACACACACACACATACACACACAAATGTTACAGAGTACATAGAAATAACAAAAATTTATCAACACAATTAAATTTCATGAAGCCGACTCTATGCGTAACCATATACGCCTTATGTTTTCCTTCCGTGCGTTAAATATTTTTTCGACAAAATCTGAAGGAACCTTGTGTGACAATAATATGACAATAAATGTGAGAAATAAGCGACGCACATCAATTAAGAACTCGCCCAGCGCCATTAATATACTTATTTTTCGCAGAAATCGTGCATCAAACTCGTGGACTCAATATGCCAGCGAGAAATTTATCAATTACGAAAAAAG